TTTGTATGCTATGTGGAAACCTTAAACTCAACTAGTTCAAAATAGAACTTGGAATAGACTAACAGGAAAGTCTCCTGTTCCATTCTCAACTGCTGCTTCTTCCTGCTGCCACGTTTGTGTTCTACATTTATGGGAATGGCGTTTCCATTCATGTGCTCATTCCAGCCAAAAATATGAACTGTGTCAGGGATGCTCCTTACTTCCCTTTACTCATAGTATCTAATCATTTACCAATAAGGTAGATTTTACTTTATTAGTATTTTCCCAACAGCCCCCACTTTTACATTTCCACTGCTCCTGACTCAGCTTAGAACTTAATAATTAAATAAATTACTTTGGCATTCTGCTAGTTGTCTTCCCTGCCTTCATTCTCAAACAACTCCGAACAGAACTGAAACTAGCTTTCAGAATCTAACATAATCATGTTGCACAAACTTGTTTATGCCTTTTCATTGATTCTCTTCATTTTTGGGTTAGTCTTTGCTCACAACTGCCACAATTATTCTTTGATGATTTTCTGGCTCATTTTTTAAAATTTCTGATTATAGGTTCCATGCTCTGAAGTGAATAACGCTTCCTATTTAACATTTGTTGCACGTCTAGCAAGTTATTCCAGTCATTCCAGATATACTTTCTTCCTTAAATATTTTCCTTATTATTAAAGGGCCCATATATAGTGCCCACTTTATTTTGAATTGATAATTCCACACTCTTTTTTGTTATTTTCTGTCACTTAGGATTAGGATTATTTTTAGGCCACATTAGAAGCTAGTCGTATTTCACATATGCTGAATGAAAACATTTCTAACATGTCCATTGAGGTCATGGCAACTTCTGAAAATGCAGTAAAGCTCCTACCAGAAAAGAGTTACTGCAGCAGATATCTTTTACTCAGGTTTTGCTTATTTCTGTAGCCAATGTTGATGGCTGTCTCTTGACCAAACCTTGAGAACTAATCTTCCAGAATCTTCACACATTTACTGAGCAATATTACTATCTGTGCCCAAAGCAGTAGATCTACATGAACCAGGTGGGTAGCACGTGTAAGATAAACATGGAGTTTATTCTATGTATCTGTTGCTTGATCTGAGGTCTATAAGATGACAGTTATGAGCCTATGTGATCAGCTCCATTTTAAGAACTCTAGATTCCAAAACTCAGGCAGGTTTCCCTACGTAAACATCTCTCATGTGTCTCTGAGGTTTCAGCTAGAGAGACCCTTTCAGAGAAGAAATGTTGGGAAGCCTGTATGTGACCTCTCTTGCCTTTACCTACATATCATTTTTCCTGCTGTACTTTCACAGTATCCTTTGCTATATCAAATCTCAACCATGAGGATAGTTTTACTTTGAGTTGTGTGAGTGCTTCAAGTGAATCACTGAACTAGCAATTGGTTGTGTACCCGAGATGGCTCCTCTACCTCATTACTAACTTGGTTCCTACCTCAATTTTCAGGCCATTCCCACCCAGCTCCACACATATTGCAACCAGTAGTTGCATCCTATGTCACTCTCTCCTCAACTTATAAACAAAATCCAGGCCCATTATATATGCTCCTGGTGAATCTTTTTAATCTCCTCCACCACTTATAATCATTCCCTCAGGAAATATGAAGAACTCACTTTGAGGAGAGAGAGAGGAGGAGAAGAGACAACAGCAGTAAAAAGTAAGCTCTATGTTATCTTATATAATAAAAGGCTAATATGGCCCTGGCTGGTTTGGCTCAGTGGATAGAGCGTCAGCCTGTGGACTGAAGGGTCCTGGGTTTGATTCTGGTCAGGGGCACATGCCCGGGTTGTGTGCTGGATCCCCAGTTGGGGGACGTGCAGGAGGAAGCTGATCAATGATTCTCTCATCATTGATATTTCTATATCTCTCTCCCTCTCCCTTCTTCTCTGAAATCAATAAAAATATATATTTTTTTAAAAAGGCTAATATGCAAATTGTCTCTTTGACCGGGAGTTCAACCAGGGGGCAGGACCAGCCAACCAACTGCCCACAGCCCCTCTCTCTGGCCAGCCCTGCCCTTGATCGGCCCTGATCAGGGCAGGCTGGCCAGAACTCACCCATGCACAAATTTGTGAACCAGGCCTCTAGTTGTAGCAATAACCAATTAGTGCCAAATGAATTTATCCTGGAGGCAATCTATTAATATTATCACTCATGGAAATAGTGTTGTAGATTCCGTTCTTACCCACCTTCTAAGATATTTATAACTTAAGGGAAAAGGCTGGATTTGGAGGAGGGGTGTAGGAGGATATAAAGGATTGTATGTCCTGAAAATACAAATATGAGCCAAGATGTTCCTGGGACCAAAATTTCTATGATCTATTTGATGATTTCAGTCTCTAAGGAGTTTAAAAGGTCTTAGGCTGGGAAGAGAAGAAGGGAAGCCTGCAGCACAACAGGCTGCATGTTCTAAGCTTATAGCATATATTATCTGCAAATCTGGCAAAGACCTACAAGGGTTAGCAATAGACAGCTCTGTCTGGCACATGCTCATTTGATGCTTCTTTGAAAGACTATACCACAGGAACTGGATGTGAGCCTCCAGGGAGAGCCAGAACTAATGTTTTATAAACCTGCTCTCTTAGGACTATGCTCAAGCCAGGGAGCCTCACAAGGCCTCAGCAGCCCCACAATCCACAGAAATTGAATCTCTGACCTGGGGTCTGGTGAGTGATAGAAACATCTCAGGCTATAGTAGGTCAAATCATGTTGCATGTGTACCTGGGATGGAATTGAGAGAAGTTGTGGGCTATCCTAGACATGGTTTCCAACTTTGTATAAGGATCTCTGAAGCAGGAAGGGCATTTGTTAGAGGTACACCACACTTATAATTTTCTTGTATGATATATTCTCTAGTTTTGGGAAACAACCCCTGGACTCTCTTTCTTCACTTAACAGTCACTCAATTCTTGCTCCTAGAATTTGAGATCAACTGCAAGTCAAACTACATTTGTGTATGACATATATTAGATAATATTTCTCAGACAGTTGTTTTTAAAAAGACTTCTGAGACATGGAGTTTTGCATTCTTTTTAGGGATGTTGCAGAGTCAGTTTAGCAGGATTTGGACAAGATGACCTTGAAAAATATAAAAGTGTTTGTCAATGATTTTTTTCTGACAAAGCTCAAATAAAGAAGTTAGACTTTTGTTTAAGAGTCTAAGAGCAACTGCTCCTCTTTTCTTACATTCTTAGAAGGCTGAGTAGACTTCCAAGTAGCACAACAGATGATTCCCATTTGTGAATAGATCACCAGCTTGTTACATATCAACTTAGGCATGTCTTCTGAATATAAAACTATCTTCTTTCCTATACTTGTTATGCTTCAGGAATGGATTTGCTATTTTATTTATATCAGTTTGTTAAATATTTGCCCCGAAATATTAATTCTGAATCTCAGATGTTTTATTTATATCAATAATGATAAGCTTTTGACATGTATAAGAATTTCAGACCATTATATTTACTGGGATAATGCTTTCCTTTTTTTTGAAACCACATTGTGATTAACAGCCTATAAGGAAAACTTGTCAGAGGCAGGTTGATGGATATAAAGTCTAGTCATTGCCTACCTCTCCCTCTCTAACCAAAATTCAGAGGAAGTTTTTATTAGAACAACATAGATGACTCCTAGAGCTCACCCATCACCTCTCCGCAGGTATACCCACACATATTATTCCTCCATGACTTCCCAATAATTGCCAATGACAATTTATTTATTGTTCAATTATCATACTTGTTTTGATTCTGACACCATTGGTTATCTTGCACAGAATTTATTCTCTGGGTTTTCCTTAGACTAACGGTTAACGTGTGAAATGGGGGTTGCAGGTATTCATGACTTTATAGAGCATTGTTATAATTAGTTCATAAGAGAGGATTAGAATATAATGAAGACTATTCTACTGGTAACAGCTGCCACATAAATGACTGCCCAAGAAGATGTTGAAGTCTTCATTGTTAAGAAAGTTTTCCTAAGATGTAAGGGAGAAACTCATCATTCAGTTGGACTTTAGGTATGTGACCAAAGTTTCCTGCGAACTCTATGTACTAGATTTCACACTTAAACCCTTCTTTAATAATTGTTCTTCGAGATACCCTGGATTATTCTGGAAAAGAGTAAGTCATACAAAGCAGAGTGTGGTTTCACAGGTGGGATCTTGTATCTGTCCCATGGTCAATGTCCTCATGAACTAGTTTATGGATATGTCTATGGTGACCAGTCAATTGCAAAGCTTCAAAGGCAGAAACTCTATATTTACTCATTACCTTACTTACATTGAGTGCATACCAGGAGCTCAGTAAATGTTTGATGCCATCAAATATATTGTGTTTCCAACAGTAAATATTATCTAGTCTTCATCTAAAAATGAAAATATTTTTATAGAGCATCCTGTAACAAAGATTTAGAAGGAATTCAAATCAGGTAAACATTCACGTCAAGCCCAAACCACTTCTGGTATCTGATATTATTATGTATATACTGAATCTCTTTCCAAACAAAACATATATCTGGTAATATCAGGAGTTCAGAATCAGTATTAACATTCCTATACTTTATTTTCTAACTCCCAAGCAGCCATTAAACATAATTATCCTTATCTAGGCTCCTTTAGAACTTTTCATTCTGGTACTAAAACGAATCTGGCTTAAGCACACACACACCCTTGTGCTCTCAACACAGTTCCACTTTGCATTTTTTTCAAGCCTTGAGAAATATCTTCAAATAAGAAAGAACTTTTCTTTCTCGAAATGACCCATGTATGCTTCTTAAAACTAAGGCAAACCACCAGAAGAGAGATAGACAGCACTCTTCCCTATCGTAAATGTCTAAATGAATGGGATTCATGCTGTGAGACGAGGAGACGAAGTCTGTAGTCCTCTGACAGCACAGACTATGGGTGCCAATGTGATGAGATGGTAGGAGAATGCTGTGAAAGAATAACCTTTTGCTTTCTCAATACTTTTTCCAGGCAAGTCCTTCCCAGAGTTATGGCAATTCCTAGCAACAATAATGCCAGCAGCTTCTTCTTCATACTGATGGATCTCCCAGGACTGGAGAGTGCTCACTGCTGGACAGCTATTCCTATCTGCCTTATCTATGGTCTCTCTTTGCTGGGCAACATCACCATAATGTACATTGTCAAGTCTGTGCACAGCCTTCACACACCCATGTACCTCTTCCTTTCCATGCTTTCAGTGGCTGACTTGGGCCTCTCAGTTTCTACGCTGCCTTCAATGCAGCGGTGTTTCTCTTAGGCCAGAGGAAGGTGGGAGCTGCAACCTGCTTTGCGCAACTCTTCTTCATTCACACTTTCTCAGTCATTGAGTCAGCTGTGCTGTTGGCCATGGCTTTTGACCGCTGTGTGGCTATCCGAGAGCCCTTACGCTATGCCACCATTCTCACAACCCAGCGCATTGGGGCCATTGGGTTGGCCATTGTGACCCGCAGTGCTGCCCTTCACCTGCCCCTGCCTGTACTCCTTGGAAGACTTCAGTTCCAGCCCATGAATGCTCTGTCTCATTCTTATTGTGTTCACCCTGATGTTGTAAGGCTGGCCAGGTCCAGCACTCTTGTGAACAGTGGCTTTGGGCTCTTCGTCATGCTTTCCACATTGGGGACAGATGCTGTACTCATTCTCCTCTCCTATGTGCTGATCTTGAAGACAGTGTTGAGCATCGCTTCCAACGCTGGGCGACTCAAAGCCTTCAACACCTGCATTTCCCATATCTGTGCTGTACTTCTCTTTTATACCCCACTAGTCAGCCTGTCCATGATCCATCGCTTTGGGAAAAAGAAACTACCAGCTCAGGTATATATGCTTCTCTCCTATCTGCACTTTCTTGTACCTCCAATGCTCAACCCAATTGTCTACAGTATAAAAACCAAAGAGATTCGGGTACGCGTTCTGAAGATGCTCCACCTGAAAAAGCTTTGAGCCCAAAGGACAAAATATTGGTTCTGATGGTCAGACTGCTGATTAATACATATCACATAGGAGGTAGAATGTACCTCTCCTCTGATCAATTACTTATTCAAAAACTAATGCCTGAATATATCATGGTGCTTCCCCAGCCATCAGAGCAGTACCTGTCCAAAGGGGAAAATGTTTCTTATTCTCTGGATGTCAGTGTCAGCCTGAGAGACCTTGGGTTAGGGGAAACTAACAGCCACTGGAGAGTGTATCAGTTACATGTAAAAGTAAACAGATTAGAAGAGTAGGATTTAATGACATTTAAGACCTCTTTCAACTAAAAACCTAGAATCCCACAAAACTAAGCTCAAAAGGGCCTTACTTGACTGTACTTTCTGAAAGTTTTGCAAGTATGTGAATCAAAATATGTTTTTCTTCTGACTTGCATATTAACTATACCTAGCCCTTTGAATAAAAGGAAAGCCCTGCTCCTCACTTTCTAATACATAAATGAGATACTCTGTGCCCTCAAAAACTACATCAAAATGCCATAGTTCTTGAATGGTAAATTCCATATATAAGTCAATTTTCCCTCCATACTTTTTTTAAAATATATTTTTTATTGATTTAAGAGAGGAAGAGAGAGATAGAAACATCAGTGATGAGAGAATCATTGAATGGCTGCCTCTAGCACGCCCCCTACTGGGGATTGAGCCTGCAACCCAGGCATGTGCCCTTGGCCGGAATCGAACCTGGGACCCCTCAGTCCGCAGACCAACACTCTATCCACTGAGCCAAACCAACTAAGGCTCCCTCCATACTTTAAATAATATTTTTTAAAGTCCATTTTTATGAGAACAGACTAGGTTTTCACAAACAAATAAAAGCTAGAGAAATTGATTTGTGTACTTTGTCATGGTCTTTCTTTCTGGATTAAAGCTTCAACTAATTTCTCTGATAGAATTGCTCTATTAAAAACATAACCAGTAATAGGTTAAGCAAGTACAGTATTTCACTTAAGTGCTAATATTTTATGTCAGATTGTATTATAAAGTTATTTACAATGTTATGAAGGGAAGGCGGAAAAAACATATTACCAACATTTTATTTCTGCCCTACATAGTCACTCATTTAGATTATATTTATTTACCTCTGCTGGGCCACCTCCTATTTAAAGTACACAGAAAACAGAATAGAATATTGCTTCCTTAGTATGAAAAGCTTAAATACTTCAGTGAAATAAGCTTTAAACATATAATTCTCCAATAAGTCTCCAGGTGCTTCCATGGCTGATAATACAGCTTAGAGGGAAGACACTAAGTTCGAGTCTACTTAACCAGTGAGGTTTCAAGAGATACTTCTTTAAAGTGTTGAGTTTTAAGTGGATACCAGCAAGATGAAATATTTAAGCATTGTCTGTTTTTCAATGTCTGGCCTATTTTATATATCTTGCCTAGAATTAGAGTTATTTGTTGGAATATGTTCTATATCCATTATAGATGGGGCCTCCCTATTTTCTTTCATTCATACTCAGGGGTGTAACAAATAAGTGCGCCCAGAACGAACAGGGTTTGGTTTTGTTTTCCATTTATATTGTGAAACAAAATAATTTTATAAATCATTATTTTTGTAGGACATGAGCTGCCTGCCTTGGTTTTCAATGCCATGGCTAAAATTGTGATTTCTATTTAACTACAGAGATATATCCTCAAAGTTGAAAGTCCTTCATTTCATTGAACTTTTATTATTTCTGTTGCAACAATAAAAAGGGTGTTTTGCTGCATTTATATGAACATAATAATAACAATAAAATTTATTAAGTATTTAATGTGTAATTTTTCAGGAATTATATATTTAAATATATTGAATAGCATCAACTCAGGTCTTTCATAATAATGAAGTACTAATAACTACTTTAGTATTGACAAGCTGTTATAAGTCTTTTAATGTAGTACCCCATTTAATTCTCACAATGATGTGCATTAGTTTTTTTCATGGTGCCCATTTCACTGATGGAGAAACTGAGTCAATGAGAAGTTAAAGAACATGCCCAAACATTCAGAGCTATTAAGTGACGGAGCTGAGATTCAAACCCACACATTTTCACTTCAGGGCCATTTGTTGTTAAACATATATCTATAATCTTCCAAGGGTAGTACTATTATATATTACAGACATTAAAAATGAGGCTCAAAGAGCTTGTGCAACTTATATAATTACCAGTGGAGACCATCTTCAACTCAGGTCTTTCTGATATTGAAGCTTGCACTCACAAACAGCCGATTACTTTTTAAACACAATATAAGGGTACTCAGTAACTGAGACAGACTTGGACAGGGCTAAAGGATTTCCAATCACAATGGGGTTTCTTTATAGCCCATTGCAAAACTTGTTTGGCAGTGACATGGTTAAAGGCAGTTGCTGCCCCAAAGCCCATGGTGCCTGTTATGTTCATCAAGGGATAATATCCAAGTATTGGCTGATTTGCTGTAAAATCACTCTTCATTGCAAATTCCCTTCCATTGTAACCTGGAGGAGGATGAGAAATGTTCTCAGCTCTTTTCTCCTTGTGGGTGAGTCAATAACATAGGGTTTAGAGAAGAAAGGGGTAAAGCCATTTGCCCCTTGTTAGTGCTCACTTAAAAATAGTGTTAATATGTTTTGAGTTAAGTACAGTATATTAAATATTTAGAGAAAGAAAAGGGGATCTTCAGATCTATTGGACGAGTTTCCTGAATTATTCCTCAATTGTGTTTGCATAATAGATAAAAACAATTAAATGGGCAATTATAATGGGCTGGTAACACATCACAAAATTTCTCCTTGCTTTAAATACAAATTGATAGAGGTGCACCTGAGGCTCTAGGCAAATGATTCTATTCCTCTCAAAGGTAAACAAGCTGAGATGAAAAGTTTGAGAAGCAGAATGATATAGGGAGTTGCTCATTTGTGAAGACAGTTTGAAAAGACTTCTTGCAAGATGGAAGGTAGCAGAAAGATGATGTAAATTGATAAACCCAGGTAATCAAGGTTAGTTGCAAATCTTTCAAAATCTTTAAAGAATAATCTTTGAGAAAACTCCTTGCATTTTGATCATAGTAAGTAACTTTAAGACAAATATTAACAAGTATTATTTACATTCTAAGTACTTTGCAGAATATTAGGAACTCTTCGAGTCTTTCATCCACTATCATATTTTATCATCAATTGCATTGATAAAATTGGTATGTTATGAAAATCAGTACAATTTACCCATTTTCAATATTCAGTGGATGGGGAAATTGAAATCAGCATGGTTTATGTGAGTATATGGATATAGTTCTAGAGGAGAATCCTTTGGGAACATGAAACCCACTCTCTTATTATTTCATATTACTATCATGGCAGAATATTGGCTCTTAATGCTGTTGATCTGAAATCCTAACGTGGTTGCCAAAGAAAGTAGACATCCGTGTTAGGAAATTCAGCATGGTGTCCCACTTTATTTGCTATGATGCCACAGGTTTACACCTGATGGAAATTCTTTTGACAAACCAAAATAAATAATTCTAATAAGGAAGTAGTTCATAGTGTATTCTTGAAATTTTGGAAAAATAGCTCTTGCTTAAGCCCAAATTTCGTCTAAGTATTTTATCCCAGTGTTTCTGTTCTGAAGTCAGGACCAAAAACAGATGCCTTGCCTTCTCAACTATATCCTTCTGCTTCTTCACACTAAATCCATTCACTCAACAAGTGTTTCTTAGAAATTGAAAAATCACACAATCACACATATACTCATGAAGCTTCCTCATCTAGACAGTCAACTTAGTGCAATATGTACAAAAACAATATTCTCCACATATATGAACATCTCAATGCCTTTTTTTATAGGTCCATTTTCTCAAATGATAGGTTAACTAAAGTCAGGAATTCTGACTCTGCTTACACTATGGATATTCACTGAAATTGATGGGTAAAGTGAGAAATCTTTCAGTTTGTTAAAGAAATGTGTTGTGTGTTTTTTTTCTCTAATTAAAATACAGATAGTGACAGTGTAGGGTGAATGTAGGATGGAGAATTCACAAAGAACATTCAGACAATTTGAATGCATGTTTCTTCCCAATCAATGTTTTGTTTTTTTTAACATTTCCTCAACTTATTTCACAGTTGCTCCATCAGTAACTGAATAAAAATCCATAAATTTGTATGTAGAAGAGACAATACAACTTGTCCAATTTCCTAAAGCATCAGAATTTAGCTAACTTACAGGTTACTTTATTAAAAATATTTTACTTTGTACGCTAAATTATAAGGGAAAAATAGTGTCTTTATTATAATTACCATATGCTTAGTGGTCTTTAATGATCTGCAGTAAGATCATTTGATAAATCCTAATGAAAGAATCTGTGCTTGTGAATGAGCGTCATTGGGGCCTCATCTCAGAGGTTAGCACCTTTTTTTAAAATTTTTATCTAAGAGTGTTCCTTTATTCTTAATTTATTACCTTTGCTTATCTTCTACTTTCTTCCTTTAATGGGCCTGCAACAGCATTGCTCACTTCTCCTTATAAAGCAGTACTATACCTTCCCATGTACTGCAGTGATTCTCAGATCTTTGTTTGGATTAGAATCACCTGGAGGGCTTGTTAAATTGTCAAATGCTGGGCTTTATCAAATAATTTGATAATTATTAAATTATCAAATATATTATATTTGATAACATAAAAAATTATCAAATTAAATTATTGAGAATATCCCCAACCCACCAGTCAGGTACAATGCAGTTTTCTTAAGTGACTGTGTTAGCTCTAGAGGTTGTCTTTGTTCTCAACTCTCTTATTTCTATCATGATTCCAGCTATAACAGATACCTATCTCCTAGTTAACTTTTGTGCTGATAACTTGAAATTTTTCCTGATTCATCTCTATACATTCCCTACCAGTCACTCACTCACTCACTCACTCACCCATGCACCTACAAATTTCTAACTGTTTTGCACCTTCTTGCTGTTTTGCTTTTTCTCCATTACCCCTCCTCACAAAGCTA